CCACTTGCCCCCTGCGCACTGGCCGCACTGCCCGCCCACCCCCTCACTCCGCGGCGTGGCGCCCAACCGCCAGCCGCGCGTGCCAGAGCCCTCCACCCGTCCTTGCACCCCACTTGCGTGCACTCCCACTTCGGCCCGGCTTGTCTTGCTGCTCGCTGCCGGCCCGTCTCTCCAGCCGCGCAAGAACATAAACTGCGCACGCGGCCGCCACTCGCAGCAGCACACCCCCATCCCCCCATTTGTCTTGCTGCTGCGCTTGCGCCCTGCGCTCGCACCCCTGCATGCGCGCCGACATCCGTGCCGTGCGCCGGCTGCCGCGCGCGGCCATGCCCACCCCTGTTGCTTGCACGGGCGCCCAAGCCCCACCCCCTCGCCCGCCCGCATCCCTGCCTCTTTTGCCCATGCCCCCCACTGCTGTGCCCGAATGCACCGCGCCACATGCCTCTGTACTGTGTGCGAAAGGGCTCCCATGTCCCTGATACTCCCCTTCTCCTTTCGACTCATGATGCAGCCGGCGGCCTCAAGAGACGCGATGCACCGCCTCCACGCCGGCTCGCGGCGGCCCCCTCTTTTAGTCAAAGTTTTGGCCGCGCCAGGGGGCGCGCCCGAGCCTGGGTAAACCTCATGAAACCAGCACCGCGCCTTGGGAGACGCCCCAGACACTGGGGCGTCTGAAAGGGGGCCGCGAGCGCCACCCCACCGGCCGCCGCGGCCCCGGGCGCATTGTCCACTTTCAGGATGTTGAATTTTACGACGCACCCCACTTACTGCCGTCGCGCCCCGCTTCTCGGTGCACACGAATGGTGTGCTGTCACGGATGGCCCGCATCCATCCACGTAATCGCTGCGCTGCCATCGGTCGGCACGCTTGATACTGCATGCACACACAATATATGCATGCTTTACGGGTAACTGGGGAACAATTCCACCGTCTGCCGGTCTTGGTATCTGTTGTATACATCAGGTGGGGTCTAGCAGCAAATCTTGCATGCCATGATGGTTCACTGCAGACGCTGCGCCCTTGCAGGTGTTGAGAGAAAGCAATGATCGCAATGGTGCTCAACGGTCCAGAGAACATGGCTGCATGCGATGGTGTGAAGTGCAGCTGTGAGTCGTCCTTTGCCAAGTCACGTGCATCGCTCAATGACACAGTGACCGTGCGGCAACTCAACTGGCAGCCACCAGCACTTCGGAAATCTGCCTAAGGGCTCGAACAACTGAGTGACGAGACCACCATGGTTGTTCGCAAGCTTACAATAGACGTTATCAGGCGGCGCAGCGTGTGATCTTCGCAATGGGGCCGAAGTCCGCAGCCCTCAGAGGCCCCTCGCGGAAGGTGGCCGCGGTGATGCCAGACATGACCACCTTTGAGTTCTTAACAGACGCTGCTCGCCATATGGCCTCTGCGGCACCCGCGCTTGCTACGCACCTCGGGCAGCGTGCTCTACAGGTGCGCCATGCGCCACGCCGTGCACTGCCTGGGTGCGTCCAGCTGGGCTTCAATTGCTGTCGCTACCAAGATCTCTATTGATAGGTTCATTGCACCAACACCAATGGCATGGACTCGTGCACCCCTGTCTCCAACTCCCCTTGTGCAAGCTCGCCGCCGCCCGCCGGCTGCCCGTGGCGCCGCGCTCCGCCCAGCGCCTGTGCGCGCGCTGCGGCGCGCCGACGGGCCCCGACTGCTGCAGCAGCGCCCGGGTGGTCCTGCTAAACGCGGCGGCGGCTGCGCGGCTGTCCAGGGACCTGCCCAGGAAAGGCGGCCTGCTGCAGCGCAACCAGGCCGCCGCCGTCAAGACGTGCGCGGTGAGGGGGCCCCGCGACTTGGCCAAGCCGCCTCGCCCTCCCATCCTCCGCGGCCGCGCCGGCAGGACTCAGGTGCCAAGCTCGCAGGCTGCCGCGTCGTTGGGCCAGCGCCCACATGCCACTCAGTATTCCAGATATATCATTCGCCGCCCGCTTCCCTCCCATCTGCATGACAGACTTGCGACTTTGAAACGGTGACACCCTTCATGACAACGGCCGCCGCGCTGCAAGCGCTCGAGCGCGAAGGCCACAAAAACGTGCCCGTCGTCGCGGCCGCCGCCAGCCGCAGCCACAGGCGCGCGGTCAGGCAGGCGGCGGCGGCAGCAGCGGCGGGACCGGCGCCACCGCGTGTGGTGAAGGGACGGCAGGTCAAGGGGCAGCAGCAGCAGCATGTACAGGAGGCGCAGCAGGAGCAGCAGACGCCGCAGGAAGAGCAGTTGCAGCAGGCACGGCAGGCACAGCAGGCGCAGCAGGAGCAGCAGGAGCAGCAGCAGCAGCAGCAGCAGCAGCAGCTGGAGCAGCAGCAGCTGCAGGAGGAGGAGCAGCAGCTGCAGCATCATCAACAACAGCTGGGAGAGCAGCTAGACCAGCAGCAGGAGCCACGCCAGCGCACGCACCCGCGGCAGCAGCAGCCAGGCTCAGAACAGCAGCAGCGTGCTGATGGCCACAGCGGTCCTGACTGCGTGGGGCTCTTGGCACTGATGCCTGCACTTGCAGGAGGGCGGTCTTGCAGCGAGACACTCTCTGTGGCAGCGGCGGCAGCGCGGGCAGCCTCGGCGGCGGCGCCGTGTGATACGGCAGCCGGGGGTCTTGAAGCGGCACCGGCCGGGGCGCAGGGGCGCTTGGCGGCAGCAGCAGCGGCAGTGGCTGCGGCGGCGCATGGAGCGCAAGAAGAAGCTGCGCTGGCTGTTGAAGCGACAACCACGACCCGGGAGCCAGAAGTGGCGGCCTCCAAAGCGGCGGTGAACGCAGTCATTGACGTGGCGGGTGCGACGCAGCAGGCGGCGGCGCCAGCGGTCTCTGCGGCGGCGGCCAAGCAGCCGGCTCCTGCCTTCCATGCGGCTGGGCCGCCAGCGACCAGGGTCCCGCCTGCTCAGGAGGCCCCCCCTGGGGCAGCTGGGGCGACCTCGCGCGCAGCGGCAGGGACACGGTCTTGCGAACAGCCGTTTGCTGGGGGCTTCGGAGCGGCGCAGCCGGGCGGGCTGGTTGGGTGGCAGCGGGGCATTTGTAAGGAGCCACTGCGGGGCCTGCTGGCTGATGAGGGGCAGGCCGAGCTTTGCACAGAGGAGCAGCAACAGGAGCGGCAGTACCACCACCTTCAGCAGCAGCAGCAGCCGCAGCAGCTGGAGCAGCAGCAAGAACACGAGCTGGTGCTGGCGCAGCAGCAGCAGCAGCAGCAGCAGCAGCAGCAGCAGCAGCAGCAGCAGCTGGCGCAGGTTGAGCAGCGGAGGCAGCAGGACCAGGAGCTGGCGCAGGTTGAGCAGCATAGGCAGCAGCGGGAGGACCAAGAAATGGGGCCTGGGGAGCAACAGCAACAGCAGCAGGCATGTCAGCAGCAGGAGGGCAACCACCAGGAGCGGGAGCAGCGGGAGCATGAGCAGCAGGAACCGGGGCAGCAGGAGGGGCAGCAGCAGGAGAGGGAGCAGCAGCAGCAGCAGCAGCAGCAGCAACAGCAGCAGCAGCTGGACCTGCTTCAGATGCAGGAACCACTGGAGGTTTGCGGTGGGGTTGGCGGGAACGTCCTGCTGCTCGATGGTGGCCAGGGGTCCGCTCCTGTCAAGGCATGTGGTGCTGCACTGCTGCAGGATCGGCAGCTGGAGAGCCAACAGCAAAAGCAGCAGAGAAGTCCACAGCAGCAGCAGCAGCAGCAGCAGCAGCAGCAAGAGGAGGCAAAGGACCAGCCACAACAGCAGCAGGCGGATCCGCAACAGCCGGCGCAGGAGGGCGCACAGCACGCGCTGCTGGGCCAGCAGGGGGCGCCTGCAGAAGAGGTTGCTGCTGTGGTTGAGGTGCGCGGCCTGGCCGGCACATTGCCAGAGGCAGCGGAAGGGGCGGCCCCGGCAGCATCAACAGCAGCGGCGTCTGCGTCCCCACCCACAGCCCCATTGCGCGACCATGCGGCAACCGGGCACGTGGGTGCCGCAACACCAGCGGCAGAGGCTGGCGCGTTTCAGCAAGCGGTCGCTGTTGTTGCTACGGCGGAGCCGCACCACCAAGCGCATGCGAAGGACGTAGCGCAGCCGGCCCCAGCCACGGCTCAGGCACCCGCCGCGGCCGCTGTCCTGCCTGGGCTGCAGGCGCCGCCCTCCAGCCCGCAGCGGCCCGGCCAGCCCCGGCTGACGCTGGGGCGCAGCAGCATGGGGAGCACACTCACAGCTTCCCGGGCACACCAGCGCCCCGGCGCCACGGCGAGCGCTGGCGCCGCTGCGTCCGCGCCCGAGCTTGCCGCGTCGCTCTGGCCGGTGGCGCCGCCGCTGGTCGCTGTCGCGGCCGCGCATGGCGCGGTCGTGGGTGGCAGAGGCTGCGAAATCGTGTTCCTGGACGGGCAGGAGGGGGCTACAGATGTCTCAATGGCTGTGGGCAGCGGACGATTGGGCGCACTTCCGAGGGCACAGCAGCAAGAGCAGCAGCAAGAGCAGCAGGGAGAGCAGCAGCGAGAGCAGCAGCAGCAACAGCAGCGGCAGCAAGAGCGGCAATTTGAGCCGCAGCTTGTGAGCAAGGAGGGTCAGCCCCTGGCAACTCAGCCAGCCGGCGGGCGCGACAGACAGGCAGCTGCAGCGGAAGCTGCCGCGCCCCGCCCCTCCGCCAAGAGGCAGCGGACAGAGGGCAAGCCCGCAGCGCACACCGCGGTGCCCGCGGTCGAAACCGCGCGGCCAACGGCTGCCGGCTCGCCGCTGCCAGACGACACCGGGCGGCAGGCGCGCACAACTCTGGGCCCTGCGGCGCCGGTAAAGGTCCACACGCCGAAAGGGGAGATCGGCGTTGGGCGGTGGCCAGTTGTCAATGATGATGAGGCCGTGATGGCGGAGCTGCGCCAGGCGCTGGCGCGGCGCCAGGCAGGTGCTACGGCGCGCAACTCGGGCAGCAAGGCGGCATCAGGCCCCGGTGCAGCGGCGGCGGGGGCGGAGACGGGCGGCGAGGGTAGGCAGAGCAGGTTGGCAGCTGCAGGGGCTGGGGGACGGCGCGAGGCTGCTGGGCGCACGGGCACACATGAAGTCCAGCGACCAGAGCCGCCGCCGCCGCAGCAGCAGCAGCAGCAGCAGCAGCAGCAGCAGCAGCAGCAGCAGCAGCAGCAGCAGCAGCAGCACGAGCCGCTGCGGGGCACTGCTCTGAAGCGAAGCCGTGCGCTGGTCCAGGCAGAGGAGCGGCGCAGCAGCGACACAGCGGAAGCTGCGACGCAGGCGCCTCGCCACCAGCAGCAGGGGCGGCGCCAGAGGGCCGGGGAGCTTGTCAGCACTCACACATCGCCTCGACAGCAGCAGGAGCAGCAGGAGAGCCAGCAGCAACGGCAGCACCCGGCGGGCGATGCAGAGCGTTTGCGCCCAGTTCTTGGGGCAGAGGCCGGGCTGGCCCCGGCTATGGGGCCTCAGACGGGTGACAAGCAGAAGCGGCGAGCCGGCAAGGCGCAGCGGGCGGTGCGCGCCGCCAAGGCCGAGGCGCTGTCGCTTCACATGTCGATGAAGCGGGCGGGGCGGAAGGCGCTAGGGCGTGCCCGGCTGTTCGGGGATTACTGATGCTTGGCATTGTTGGCCGCGGGTGCCGTGGATCAAAGCCGTTGTAACACATTGACTTGCAGTGCCGCTGGCAGGTGCACATTTCTGGTTTGAGCAGATATCATTGTAGGAAGCGTGGACAGGACACAAGCAGTGCGTCAGCCAGGCAGAGCCTTAGCGTACGGATGAGCAATGAGGACCCCCAGATGGCAGATGAACAGGCACCGCAGTCCCAACAGCATCGTCGGGGTCCTCGCCTACCACACACACACACTGTGCCATCCGGCTGCTAGCTGCTACTGCTCTCTGACTGTGCTGGTGCAGAGCAACCCCTGGCAAAGTCTCTAGGCACCACCCCACTAGTGGGGGGTGCTCTTGGCGGGCTTTCTTTCATGCAGCGCCCTTTGCCCTGCCCCTGCCCTGCCCTGCCCTGCCCTGCCCTGCCCTGCCCTGCCC